AGAGAGAGAGAGAGAGAGAAGGAGCGTGAGAGCCATTGCAAGCGTTGCACTTCTCTCCCTTTTGCACGCTCCCTGATGGAAGCTGAAAATCGTCAGGAACGTCATCAAAAGCCTGAAGCGAGTTGCAAGGGAATGGCATGGAAGGGGAGCTCATAGGCAGAAAACTGAGGTGTGAGCCGACAAGCTTCCAGCAGCCCCTCCGAACATGGCGCCTGAATGCTCCTGAAAAACGCAGACCCACGTTTGCGTCACGGTGCTTGATCACTACACACACACATCCGCTGGGATCCGCGAGGGCTCCTCGCATTGCGAAGGTTGCGAAGGGCTGGGCCTGGGCAGTTGCCGGATAAGCCTAGGCAGAGCAAAGCATTGCATGGGCCAGTTCACAGGCAGGCCATGTCTGACTGAGCCCTGCAAAGCTCAGGGCGAACTTATCAGGGAGAAAGAGGCCATGGCAGCACCGAAGCTAGCTCTCAACTCAAGGCCGAAATGTCCTGCCGAAGAGGCCGAGCATGGCTTGGGAAGTGGAGTCTTGCTGACCGGCTCGTCGGCACAGAAGACTTGGTACTGCTTTTTCTTACCGCATGGACTCGTCTGGCCTAGGCTCAGGTAGCACTGCAGCAAGGTCTTCGGCACCCGAGAGCTCTTTCACTCCTGAACTTCAACAGCACTTCGAGGCAGTCGAACGGTCATGGCCACCGCAGGCTCACAGGGTCTGCCTGCAGAGACAAATTAACCAAGGCGCTTGGAAGTCCAGATCGGCCGTCTGCCCAGTGTCTGTGACTCACATAGCCCCATGATGCCAAATACAGGCGCGCCTGAAGAAGCTTTTGAGCTTATCTGGATACTATGGCTTGTTCTCCTAACAAACACACGGCGACGATCGGGTCGACGGCGATATTGCTTCATCTCGGACAAGACTGCTTAGGGTGACTGAAGCACGCTCGGAGAAAGGGATGCAAGAAGCTTGCGACTCCGATTTCGTTTGTTCCGCACTTCGACTGTCATGACAGTTCATCCATCGTTTGACAACTCCTCTCACTGAGCTGCGAACCGCAGCGAGATTCAGCTTCGACGCGCAAGCCTTGAGAAATATCACAGAGTCGTCAACAATGATAAGTCCCTCCTTGGCAGTGATTTTTGGAAGAACAACTGCTTTCGGAAAGACCAGTGAAACCCAGAGACTTCAAGGAACAACAACGAAAATCTTGCTGAGTTATGCTCGAAGAAACGCCAGATGTGGACCCAATCGACTTGCACAGAGATTCCACAGCTCGGACCTTTTCCTCCACTGTCCCCAATCCACAGTGCAATTGCCAACCGTCCTTGCCAGCCCAGGACCCTTGGAAGTCTGGTGGCTCGAACGGGAGATCTGCTGCTCCAGCGCTGGCCATTTGCAGCGCGTGTGTTGCGGAAACCTGGTCACGACTCGTAATAATGTGAACAGTCTCGCCGATCCTGCCAGCCGCGACTGCCAGCCACACGACCCGCAACACTTCGCTGTAGAACTTTATCTCTACGAGAAGACCTTCTGAACGGTGACGACGCCTGGCATCTGCCATTGCGTCCTGCAGTTGTGCAATGCTCAGATTTCCCCACCGCATCAGCAAGAGCTCGCGCAGGCCGAATTCACCGGGATGTGCCAACCAATTGCATTCGATTTCCCCGATTGTCAGCGGCCGTGCACCACCCCGCCCTTTGGCTCGATTCGCCCTGCAGGCAACGGCCTCCTCGACACAGAGGCGAGCAAAAAGCAGCATTTCCCATCCTGCTTGGCACGCCGGTCGGAGTTTTTGCACCTTGTATAGCAGCCAGGGCGGTGCATCAGTGAACACAGCAGATGCCTTGTGTTCCAAAAGTCTTTGCCAGTCGTAGTCCACCCAGCTCTGGCGCACACCAGCCTCGTTCAGTGTAACATCCTCTGCATTTCTCATGACATCCGGCCAGAGCTCAAAGGCAGCCTGGCATGCTGCTGCAGCAACCTCTTCTGCATCAGCACAGATAACGCCATCAAAGCCCAAAACCAGCACGGAGGCGCACGCAGGCTGCGCCTTGAGGGCGGTTCTGCAAGGTCTGCCTGCCAAACGCATGAACAGTTTTCCGGCAGACCCCAAGGGTTGAGTTCTCGACCGAGTCGGAGAGCCCCTAAGGCCGGGAGCGATGGTCAGGTCATACGAGGTCTCTAGACAGGTTGTTGTTGCTATAACTGCGCGGGTTTCTTCGCGGGCACCGCGCTCTCACTGTTTTGCTGGTTGGGTCGAGGAGCTCTTAATGCCGGGGTCTGGTGGTTCTAACACGGGAGCGGAATCTGCAAACTCGACAGCGATCCAATGCCTGCGGCTTGGCGACCACAGCGGGCAGTAAACAGAGCCACCAGCGCTGCACCATATCGTATTCCAGCTTGCAGGTCGGTCTTTGCAGACTGCACCCGCAAAGTTGACACGCGGCAGCCACTCTGGCCCCACGCCTGCAAACCAACCCAGACAAGCAGGTTAACGCATGTTAACGCAACAGCTCGTTCTCTCTTCCGGCTGCCGTCTTACATGCATCAGACAGTCTGCCTTCGTGCTTATCCTCTTTCAGGGAATCGAAGTGGGACTTCTGTCAGTTCGTGGCAACTAGCGCTCTGACAATCCTTGACTCACTGCCCTGCAAATCCTTCAAACGCCCGCTGTCCGTGTAGAATGCGGAGCGCGGAAATAGTCTCGGCAAGGCAGCCGTGCATGCACACATTCTGGCCGGACAGCTGAACAGCTAGACGCAAGTAGCTTCAGTGCGTCTGCGCTATCTGAGGTAGCTTCTAGCTTTACCACAGGTCTTGCCGTTGTCCTGCATCGACAGAAACCCTGCTGCACAACTAACATTGAACTCAATCTACTTCAAGCTGGCTCTGCTTGATCTTTGCACAGCGTCTGCAACATGTCCAACATCTGCGAGAATTGCAATTTCTCTCGGCACGGAAAGTTGCCTCCTGGATCTGGCCACAGATCCGGCTTGCCAAACCATTTCACCGGTCCTCCTTCGTGCTCCAACCTTACCGAAGAAATGACAGAGCGCCTGGCATCCCCAAACGAAGAGAGCACACCATACCGAGCAGCGGAGATGCAGCTTGGCCTGCTTTAGTCTAGTCACGGGAATTCCTCACTGCTACACTTGCTCCCATCGGCTGCTCCGGCGGAGCATTGAGAGTAGCTTCGTCTTTTGCTTTGTTTCAACATTTGCGCAAGCAACCTCACATTCAGATGAAAGCCAGTCGTGGGGAAATTGATTCTACCCAAACAGGTGGACCACATCTTGATCTTCCGGCTGACTACCGGAAGTACCGGATTTCCCCAAACAAAGGCAATGCGGGCAACTTGCCGAGTATAGGGCAAGGCTTCCTTCCCCATCTGGCAAGCATGCAAAGAGACCATGTGCAGCACATGTCTGATCGCAGCTTGGCACTTTAGCCTGTGATCAGCTCTGTTGCACAGTCTTGCCAAAGGGTACGTTGCAATAGCCACTACAGATTATGGTCGAATAAAACTACTGAACTCTGAACAGCACTTCTTAAGTTGAGCAAGTCAAAATGTTGCATTGACTGTTCATGCGCTCACGAAGCCGGGGTGTGTTTGACGGATGGGAAGCCTCGATGTTCACATCGACGGTGCTATGCTGGTTAAAGTTAAGGTGTGGCAGCCCTTTCGGGCTGGCGTGCGCACACACACACACACACTGCAAGGAGTGTTGATGACAAAAAACCATGCTTCGCATGGCACAATGAATGTGCGTGAGACAGAAAGACCGGGCATGCCATCATTGTGGGCACATGGCCATAAGAAAATGACGTAAACGAGCGAGTCGCATGCAGGAATACCCACACGCACACACAAAAAGAAAAAAAGAAGAGGTTGTGTGTAGAGTTCAACGAAAATAGAGTAGAAGAGGCTCGGGCATGGCTGGACAGTAAGTGTGATCATCGTTCTGCTTGACACATGCAGCTCTCAGTGCAAGATGGTCCCGTCACTCTGAAGTGCGGGAAGGTCTCTTGCATAGAAAGCCTGCCGACTGGCTGTGTACACAAGCGCCCGGGAGCACACACCACAAAGGAAGAAGCAGCAGAACAGCCAACTGCGCCTAATGGTGTCCATTCGGGTTTGTGTCGGGGACGTCCTGCACAAAGGCAACTTGCCAGGGACATGTACGTACAAATGGCTTAGTTCCCTAGTCCCCGAGATGCTCCCTGAGGTCATTGGGCCTGAGAGCCTGAATGCCACCTCTGCCCACCAGTTCCACTCCAGGAGATCATGATGTGCCACGCTAGAAGCCACGAGAACGCCTGCAAGGCTTTGCTAAAGCTTCTCCTTCTTTTGTCGCTTGCTCCACCACAGTTTCCTGAGCCACGCAAGGGAACATCCGGCATGTCCACAATGAAATAGTTTACGCGGCCTCTTGGCAGCTGTCAGCGGATACGGGTTGAAGTAAGCGATTGCCTGGTAAACAGCCTGGCAACAAGCAGTGTACAATCGGGGACCTTTTTCGCTAGGAGCCAACTGCAGGAGCCGAAAATCCGAGGTTCAGACCAGGTCCAGGAGCAGCAGTAACGGAGTAAGGAACTGCAATCGGCAGGTCATGAAACTTCAAACCGAGGGACCCATCTGAGCGCTTCACCAGAACCGCTGCGTAGCGAGCTTCTGTAAACATTGCACTCAGGGCTCCTGCACAAGGAACCAGATTCACTCAGAACGGGACGGCATGGTTTCACGCTTGCCTGCGATCTTCGGTTGCATCATGTCCGTTCCCAACGGAGTTTCAGCTAGAACGGCCAACCTGGCACAGGCGGCAGCTAGAATTCCAACAATTGAGGACAAAACCATGTCTGGAAAAGTGCAACATCGCCGGCTTGACGTTACTGCCAAAGACAGGAAAGAGAAGACGATGATCTCGGCACCGTTTTCATGGTCAACGGATACCGCAGTCTAGACAAGTTTGAATCACGCACTGCTCAGGCCGCTGCCCCAACCGTCTGTTTTGAGAATGGACTCTCGGCAACCATCCACAACCGGAAGTTGACGAAAATCTGCATAGCAACTGCTCTCAAGGAATCAGAGTTCTCCAAAAACAATTGCGTGGCGCGTCGGCTGAGTGCAGAGCCACTACCAGGCAGAATGAAATGCATGATGAATACCAGAACTCCGATCCATCCTGCATGGCAACGCAACCGCTCGGAAACTGCCTAGTGCTGACAGCAATCCAAGCCTCCTCGTCCACAGATCCAACAGTCAAGTTCGGAATGAGCCAGGACACCCCACCGTGGTAGAAGGCACTGGCAAGACGGCACGACTTGAAACATACCATGAACATGACGTCCAGAGCCCAGGGCCTCAACACCCATGCCACTAGCAAAGGTCCATTGAAGCGCATTCGCCTGAGGCCGTCACAACCAGATAGGCTGCAGGAATTGTACTGCACTTTGGCCGCTGCTGTAGCCCTTCAATGTACAAGTCCGGCGATGCAACAGACACCTGACAAACATCCGAACTTGGTTCGCCGGAGACGAAGGATAACCCAAGCTGAAGTTGCCTCGTCTGGTATGTCTGTATCCAGACTCACCACCACGAGCACCGGCAAGCCGCAGATGACGGAGGCAAATCTCGACAACATCAGCCACAGAGATCCCCTGTGCCCGTGCAAGTGACGAGGCTTGAGGCTCCGACGCTGAGTTCAGCCACTCGGCATAGGCGATCTGAGGCACAAACCTGGAGACACCAGCAGGGTGCACATGCGTGGCCTGAGAAGACGTGTTCTGGGATGCTGGCGCAATCTGATGTGCGTAGAAAATGTCGCCCACAGCCAAAGTGGTGTGCTTGTAGAACATGTAGCAGATGAATGTAGCCACACGGCGGTATGCCCGTCTGCCTCGAAACCGAAAAGCAAAAGAAAGCAAAACTGAACCACACATGAGGCCCAGCGAGTTATGCTGAGCTCGGCAGAGATGCTCAAAAGCTTAGAAACTCCGCACACGAGTCCGAGACACTTGGCTTTACAAAAGGAAAGGTCTATGCCTTTGCTGCATTGACCGAGCCTAGGTCGCACAATGCCGTCTCAGGCCCGTGCCGTGGCAGTACAACAGCGGGACAAGGAAGCGAAACTGCGAAATTGCCACATCACTGGCCTGTCAAACGACACTGCCCCGCGAAAAGCAGCAGATTTCCGCTACTGAGAAACGACGTTTACAAATCAAGAAAGCTGTCTTGCTGCTGGTTCCACTCTCTTGCTTCAAGCAAAGTAGACACCGTTGTACGCGAATGTCACGTGGCCCCGATCTTAGTCGCGGTCGGCGCATTGGTTACCTTCCTTCGGCAGGCCAAGATTTGCAATCCGGCCCCCTGCACGCAGAATTGACGCCCTTCGCCGCATCCAACGACCATGATGACCACTCGGTGACCAACCTTTCTGCATTCAATTGTCGCATGAAGGCTTTCGAAGCGACGTTGATCTAAATTGGCTGCTAAAGCGATTTCTTGTTCGTCGTCTGATGCAGCGTTTTATCACGCCGCTCGGCAAAGAAAAGGCTGGAACAACGAGCCAGAGCTGGTGGCGAATTCTGCACTCGCCCGGCAGGGCCTCTACACTGAGATCTTCGCCGGCATCGACCACCCGAGGGCCCACCAAGGAGGGAACGAGGGCAAACTGGAAGAGCATTGTCAGGTTGTCGAGGGGGGTCCACTGTCCGCCGGTGGGGCCAGTTGGCCGCTGCCACGGTCGCAGATCTGGCCCATCCGGCTGAGTCGGGCACTAGGATGGCGATTGGGGCGGGCTGGCCGCAGGATACTTGGATGTCGGATTCAAGGGTAAGGAGTGGTTACGAGGCGGTATCGAGTATAAGGTTGGGCCAGGTTCTGAGAAAGATGGTGGTGGCATTACGAGGTGTCGCACAGGAAAGTCATCCAACACCGTGGGTAGGGGATGAGATGGGATGAGTAGCGCAGGGACGGCTTGGAGTCAGGAAGGGCAAGCAGGCAGAGGCACCGCAGTTGCAGAATGCTGGAGCTGCTGGATCTTGGGTCGGACTGACCAATGTTGCGCTTAAACGGCGCAAGTCGGGCGGCCAAGACTTCTGACTTTAAGCGCATCAAATGCTTTAACATCGGTGCAGGTGGTATGCGGCCACAGTGGCTTTGGCGCACTGTATGGGAACCTTCCTGGCATGTCTACACGAAAAGAAACAAGTATGGCAAGTTCTGAAGCCTGAGAACGCAACATAGCTTGCAAACCCTTCGATTGATGACAAACCTCAGACCCCAGAAGTGAAAGAAAACAAGACGTGACTAAGGAATCTAAGTGCTCAGGCACATAATCTTCAACCATAGTTGCTTAAAGCGCACAAACTCTAGCGATGTTTAAACAGTGCACCGTATTCCCTTGTCCCCGAGAGTTCCCCAAAGCAAAACGCGAGCGATGTGTGCGGAACACTCCCAAACGCAACCCAATCAAAAATCATGGGTGAGTGAGGCATAACAGCAGAAGATGAGCCAATCAGCTACACACTATTTTGGCAAAAGGGAAAATCATTTGTGAGTCTTGGGCAGGCAGTACGAAGCGTTTGGGTACTGTGTTTTCAGGTCGCTAGCTTTTGCATTTGTGCGCCTTGAACAACTTTCAAAATGAAGGCTTAAGGCTTAAGGCTTCAACAAATGTGAGATATTACTTCGGGATGTTGATGGGTTTCTGAAGCCCTGTGAATCCATGCGGCTCAAGGTTTAAAACGTGTTCGGGTTGGGGTATTATGAATGATGTTTAGCAGTCCGGAAAATTCTTTGGTGGGGAAATTGGGGAAACGCACGAAACGAATTTACTCGAGCATCAGATACGTTGAGGACTATGAATGATGTTTAGCAGGTCCCGGAAAATTCTTTGGTGATTGTTGGGATGAACTGGGAAAGGCAAGAAACGTGCTACTTTATATCCGTCAGATCATGCACTGACCCCACCCAGAGGAAGGATGTCAGGTCGCCAGCAGAAGCTGAGCCAAGCGGCCAAATCATTTTTTGCAAGAAGTACAAATCATTGATGATGAGCGGTGAAACAGGGCTAGCCCAAGAATTGCAGCACAGTTGTACGAAGGCATGGTCTGCCACTTGTCACTGCGTGCATCACCATTTCTGGCACCAGGCTGCGCTGGAATAACAGATATACGTTTCCAACATGTTACATTCGAACGATCTGGGAACGCATTTCCTAGCGCTTTGATTTGTTTGGTCAGACTTGTTGCATCACTGAGTCATGGAGAGACAAAGGCTTGCAAAACTCCGTGGCCTGCACGGCCTGATTGCCTTCTTTGCCACGGATGCCTCAGTGGATACGAAACGCTTAAACTGCTACTGTTATTGCCACGAGATGAAGGATTGATACAACACCCCGCCTATGCCGACATGGGCACCCTGAATCATCGGCACATCATTGGCCCCGTCGCCAACTGCCAAGGTTATTCCTGTCCTGAGGCAAAGATTCCCATCACTTTCTGTCGCTCATCACTGCCACATAATTTCATTGCAGCTTGTGAATACACACTGCACCAAGGCTCTTGTTCATGTCCTTCACTAACTCCACCTTGCATGCAATGTCATGCACAGCGGGGGCGAAAACACAGCTCGCGCAAAGGATCCCGCCAAACGGCGCTTCTGCTGTGGAGACAGACGGCAGCACACCTGTGCAGCGAATCCGAACGTTGCTCGGCACCAAACCCTGTCCAAAGCCGAGGACTGCCGGTTTCTGCACGTGAAGCTCGGGAACGAGCGCAGCATGTGCTGGACATGGCAAGCTCATACCTGGCGATAACATGCAGTAACGGGATGAAGTCACGACGAATGTCGGCATTGGCAGCATGTGTCTAAGGACAGAATTTTAGGCAGGCTTGCAACATCGGCCGGCCATTGGCAGAACTCAGGACCTGCTGAACAAAGGTACCTGGCAACATGCACTAGCTGCAAGTACTCTGCACATGGTGAACGACTGCAGCGACAGACCATCGATCACGAGCCCTCCATCAGTCAAGTCTTGCAACTTTGTCTTGGCTTCCTGAAGGCATGATCCGCGATTGTAAAAGGCATGCCTCAACGTTGCAGCATGGCAGCCTCCAGCAAGCTCAATGCTTGCTGCTCGCTGCTGCAGTTCACCTCAACCGTTGCATTGTGGCTATGGCTAGAAGGCATGTGGCAAAACAGCATGCGCTTTCCAAGTGCAGAGCCAAATAAGCAAGAGTCATGCTTGGGGTGAAGAGGCGACAAGATTTTGCAATTTCCACCTCAGAGTCCCGAGCCAAGCTGCTAAGTGCGGACGAGTAACTTAGAAGACCATGCTGGTCTAAGTTGTGAGCCGCCGTTTCCGTCTTGTCCCCGGTCAGAACCCAGAATCGGATTGATGCTGCCTCTCAGTATGCACCAACAGTCGAACCATCCAAGCTTTAAGTTGCTGCCAGCAGCTCGCCTCAGCTAGCTCTCGCACCAGATTCAGAAAGGCTGGCATCCCAGCCTTGATGGAGACGATGGCTTCGGGCACGCCTTCTTGCAGTTTGTCCTGCGGATGAGCAGCCTAGCAGCCTAGCTGCTTTTCAACAGGACATGGAATGCCGTTTTTAGATGCAATCTCCCGGCTACCCTATCACAACTGGGCACCTCGATGGCAGTGATTCCTGCCGGCTCCAAGGAATGTTCCACTTCGGCGGCGATTTCAGCCAGCTTCTTCTCGCGGTCCTCGAGTCTTAGACTTTCACGCAGCTGCGACTAGAACTTACATCATCCTGTGACCGAGTTAGAGCGGCTACACTCACATGGCAGACGCGCTCCTCGGACTCGAGACTTGCGTCTTTCCAGCGGCTGAGCCAATCTTCGGTGAAGCTCAGGTCCATCTTTTTTGCGGCGATCTGCAGATCGGAAAGCAATTCTAGCACTAAGCAGCATAGCGTCCTTCTGTACATAGTGCGGATTGCACTTCCATCTTGCAGCGAGAGAATAGAGAGAAGGAACGAGGAGGGTGCACGCGAAGCCGTTACTTTTCGGGCTATGGGCGGAGGTTTACCTCTGCGCAAAAAACAACACGAGCATTACTGGGCGAGGTGAAAGCGGAATGACTCGGACTAGGACAATGCCGTTGCGACGACTACTACCACGAGGACCGACAGGAACACTGCTACTACCGGTCTCGGACCATTATCAATCAGCCAGGATGACAAACACACCTCGGAGTAAGTCCGCTTTTTTTCCAGGGGACTGGCGAGCTGCTAGCACGATCAGGACTGACACCATTTGCACTATGATTATTGTGTTGGTGGAGGGCGTGAGAAGCACAACTACTACTACAGGGATCGGACTACTGCCTCGTGGACAGGATGACCAGCACACCATGTGGGCTTCTGCTATTGTTGTTCTTGGAAGGACCAGGATTATCACCAGGGGAGGAGCGGACTACTAGCATGATCACGATTACTACTGCCCCGCCCGGCCACGACCACGACCAGCACCATAAACTATAATCAAGAGTACGACCTGTAGTAAGAGTCGTCCTAGTATTGGTACTGCTACTGCTACTACCACTACTACCACGACCGGCACTCGGACTGCTACTAGTACTGGGAATCTAGAACAATTATTTGAGCAAGTTTGCCAAGCCCACTTGCCCACTGGAGGGAGCAAGATTGCCAGCGATCTTGCAATCTTGGTCTAAAAGGTAAACAAGTCGGCAAGTAAGTGAGGCAAGTGGGGCAAGATGACCAAGATTGCAAGGTTGCTGGCAAGCTTGCCTTTGACCAAGATGAACCAAGAGTACCAAGATGGTTCCACAAAAATTACCTGTTCTAAATTCCTAGTACTACTCGGCTACTCGGACTACCACTAATACTACGGATACAACCACCACCACAACTGCCACTACGTGTCCACTACTGCTTACACTACCACGACTAGGAGCACGACTACAACTTCTACTTGGGTGCGGGCGCAAAGGGCGTCGTGTAACTTATTTGCATTCTCAAAGGTGTGGGAAGCCGCGGTATTAGCGCGATTTTCAGAAAAACAGTGTGGTGCAGCGCCTGCCGGAAACTGTTGTAAGTTCCACACGATTTCACTCAGCCACTATCGGTTTGTGATTATCATCATCTTCTTCTTCATCGCCATCACCATACCGCCGTGCGCTATGCTGTGCAAATGGGCAACAATGCTGTGAATACCGGTGATATGGGCACGATCACACAGAGCATCAACGCTTGTGATAGTGCATCTTGTGCCACAAATGTACAAAGTCTTTGAATCCGCTAAACCCTACACCCTAAACCCTTCAGTATGTTGTATAGAGTGGCGGAACGCTGTAAATACCAGCGGTTCGCACATGCCTATTGCGCTTGTGACAGTGCGCCACGTCAAACATCCTTCTGCAGTATATTGTATATAGTTGCAAGAATCGGTAGTTCTCTAAATTATTAGGGTCCCTTCCTAGGTCCCCAATATAGTACGGCACCCTTATAAACATGCCCCCAAAAGAAACCCTAATTTAGAGAACTTGTGGGCCAGGGGCATGGAGAACGAAAGCTCGGTCTTTTTTTCGCAAGCTGTGCAAAGCCTGTTTCTGTGATTTGGTTTCTCGACATTGCTAAAACACCGGTGGCA